TAATGGCTGCTCAATTATGCGTTATGAAATTTCACCATTTGTGTGCATTGAAGGTTTTCCAAAAAACTGAGTTTTGTTAGGCTGATTGCCTTTCAAAAATTTTTTGGGTTGTCCATGTCCCTAAATTGTTTGTAATCCGTTGTCTCTCTTCTTTTCTTGTTGACAGTTCATTTGGATATGCCCGACTGTCCACACTTGTAGCCTTTTCTTATAGCAATTAAGCACTACCCAAAATGTCTTTTTTCACATTTTTCACAAATTGACTTTTCTATCTTAGGCTGCTTCTACTTACCTTCTAATTTAATTTTATTGCTATGGAAGTAGTCTTCCTTACTAAAATTCTTTTGCTTACTTGCCTGAGGTTGCCACTGCTGACTAGAAAAGTTCAACTTAATTTCGATTCTTCTGGCTCTTTCAACTAGCACAGAGAAATCACTGATTTCAAATGGCGCCAAAGCCGACCTCAACTAATCTTTAAGACCATGCAGAAATTTGTGGTATTTTTCTTAATGGGTACTGACATAATAGGGTGCATATCTGAAAAGATAAGTAAATTCTGTCCCATATTGCCTAACTCTTGGACCCGTCAGATGAAGAACTTATCATGCAGTGCTAATCTGGTTGAAGGCAGAATAAACCAATCTTTGAAGGAATTAATAAATTTTCCTATTGAAGCTGTGGAAGAGGTGTCAACTAAAATTTTTATGCCTGCCACCACCTTTTTGTCTCGCCTTCTAGCATAAAAATAGCTAGTACCACTTTTCTATTTTTCGGACAAATCATACCATCGGGAGTTTTTCCGTTCTTCAAATGTCAATCTTCAGCAACTGTAAGGTCACTTTTACCCTTGAATTCTGGTGGCTTGAAGGATTGAAATATCTTCAAGTGTCGATCCACTTTTGCCCTAGTTTCAAATTTGGGCCCTATATTGGTGGAGGATTTTTCGATAGCAGTCATTTTTTTCAACCACTTGTAATATCAATTGAACGATGTCCTGTAGCATAGTAGTTTTGGTGTCTTCATTCGTTTTATTCTAATTTGCATTTCTATTCAAAACATTTTTCAGATCTTACTTCTTGCTCTACACTTGACCTATGAGACTGACCCTCAGTACCTTTTGATTCATCTCTAGGCATGTTCATCTGTATTGGCACAGTTTATTATTTAAATGTAAGTTATCATGTAATATTGTGTTGTGCATGCATGATACCATAAGTCGTATGGGATACCCACCCCAGATTCATTCTGTAGCTCTGTATAAATTAATTCGTATTTTATCTCTTTCGTACTTTTTTATATTCAACATTCTTCCATTGTTCTCTTCATCAAATAACTATGATTGATACCACTTGCAGGTCATAACGAGTGTTGGTGATAATTGAGTCTGGACGAATTTTCCGCCTCTGTCGCTCCTTAGTCACCCTTGAAGGGAGACCAGTTCCAGTGTGACGGTAGGATTGTTAAGGTCCATGTTAGCGGAAGCATAAAAAGTGGAAGAGAAGAGAGGAGGCAGAATGAAAATGAGAAGATCAATGGGAACAATGCTTAAATAGCCACATGGCTAGTTTGACTTTGATATGTTTGGGGTTTAGCCTAAAGTCTTATTCTTCTTTTTTTTTAATTACAAATATTGTTTAGTACCCAAAAAAAACTTGAGACCGTCTCTATAAAAAAATTTTTATTCTATTTTTTTTTTATTTTCTAGATTTTAAATTGGATTGTCGAGACTTAGAGTCTGTTTGGGGCAGTTGCAACTTACTAATAAGCTGATGCGCATCAGATGTTGAGGATAAGTTGACTGACTGTTTGTTTATTGTTGTTTAAAAATAACTGCACAACTATTTCTGAACAAATGATCATTCTGCCTTTATGTAGGAATATTGTTTGCAACAAAACTGTCATAACAGTACATTTGATACTTTAGAAGCAAAAATTCACTTCATAACAGTGCAAAAAAAATATATGTCTCACTTAACAGTGAGTATCATCATTACTATAATAAAAAAAAGACTATTAAAATAACATTTAATAGTATGATAATATTATTTTTAAAATGGAGACGGTGTATGTTACGATCCAGACCGTCCTCCAAGGATACTATCAATTCTCGATCACTCTCAGTGGTGGAATCTACCAGTCTGTCTGCCCACCGGAAGAAGTCACGCTTCTCCATAGTTCTCCGCGGGCATCTGTATGACTGTCTCCCATAGCTTTGTGGCTGATATGACGTTAACAAGAAATTTTGAAGTCTACAGTGGCACAACAATTCTCGGGAGGTACAAAAAATCTTTGATTTTATCTTTCCTGAATGTTTTATAAGACAATCCATTAGTCATAACAGAAGTGAAAATTTTCTTCTAAAATAATTAATTATGTGTGAGGTCTCAGAGAACTCAGTATACCAACAATGAATCTGTCACTACAAGACGACAACAGCCTTGTTAAAAAAGTGTGTTTGGTTGCCTTTAACCCACATAATACCAAGCTCGCATGTGTCACATATGCATTTCACTAAAAAAAGTTCATCCAGAAGAACCTCAAAAATCATATCGTCAAAAAAAATGGAGGAATTTAGTTACTTCAATAGGATTTCACATTTAACACTAACCAATGCCGACAATCAGGTCATCCAGAAGAACCCATGAGGTCTAGCATCTCATCATAGAACTCTCAAACCCACCATAAGACCACAACTCCACACACAACCACAAGCACCACGACCACTTTCACACAGAGCCAGACCGCCACGCACAACCACAGCTCACACATGAGCCAACACAACCAGACAATCACAACACAAACACAACGACAACCACCACTGCACAACCCTAGCCACACCTCCACACACAACTGCAGGCTCTACACACAACCACAGACACCACAAGCACCTCCACACAGAGCCAAACCTCCACACACAACCACAAGCCACACATGAGCCAAACCTCGACACACAACAACAACCCACACATGAGCCAACAAAACCAGACACCCATAACCCACAACCACAGCCACCACAACACCACCCCAGCCACCCCTCCACACACAACCACAACCACCTCCACACAACCACAAGCACCACAACCACCTCCACACACAACCACAAGCACCGCAACCACCTCCAACCACAATCAATTGTAATACTATTTTTTAAATACCTCTTCCTTTATCCTTGGAGCCTATCACATTAAAACTTTCCCCATTTACAAGCATATCGCACTATTCAATCCTTTTCAAGAATAAGTTGTATGGAAGGAAACAAATCAAACTTTATCCCATTTACACCCATTTCACAGCACAACCACCACAACCTACAACACAACCACCACAATCCACAGCACAATCACCCAACCCACAGCCACCCAAACACACATCTACACACAAACCATAGCCACCACACCACAAAACACAACTCCACAACCACCACACCACAAAGATCCAACCACACCTGCACACACATCCCACAGCAACCCAACCCAGCACAACCATCACGGCCCACAACACAGTCACGACAACCCACAACACATTCACCACAACCTACAACACATCCACCCAACCACACCTCCACACACCACAACCACCCAACCACACCTCCACACACATCCCACAACCACCACACTACAAGAAAACTCCACAACCACACAACCCACAGCCACTACACCACACACCACAACACGACCACCACAGCCCACAACCCCACAACATAGCCACCCAACCACACCTCCACACACAACTCACAACCACTACACCACAAGACATTACACCACAACCATCTAACTCACAGCCACCACACCGCAACCACTCAGCGTAACCACCTCAACTCACAACACAACCACCACAACCCACACACAACCACTCGACCCACAACCACCACACAACCATCCACAGTACAAGTAGTCCTCACCACAACACAACCACACCACAATCACAACATCCTTCCCAAAATGCAACCACAGTACCACCCAATTTATAGTAAAAGCCATCACCTCATCAGCAATAAAGGAAATCAGACACTAATGCAAAATTGCATGAATTGCAAAAACCTAAATCGCTTAAATTGCAAAATCTAACATCAGTGAACAACTAGACGGAAATCAACAATCGAATAGAGCTCAAAAAACCATCGCAAACTCATAATACCAGAGAATAGTGGTAGAGAATACTATGGGCCGAGGGAGAGCAAAAGAGTCAAGCGCATACGAAGAACAGAGCGTATAGGGAGAGTAAAGAAGCCAAACAGAGACGAAACATAGCTCACGGATCGAAGAGGAGGCGAGCGGGGATCTTACCTCTAGGGTGACGAGAGAGAAGCTCGTTCACGAGAGAGGGGAAGGAGAAGCTCGGTCGTGACAGAGGGAGTAGGTTAGTAAAAGGCGGGCAAAAATAAATACAAACACAGGCTGCAGGGTCGAACCCGTGGCCAACAATATGTCTGAATTTTGTTTAAAACGCCGCCACACCAATTTTTTCAAACGGACAAAAAAAGAGCTTTTTAGGGCCGTACCACGCGAAAAATGCGGCGCAAAACGGTATCTTAATGATATCTCATAAACTTTCATTATTGTGGCGAAGTTTATAATGAATGAAAGAGCAATGCCATGTTTCTTATATATTAGAATTTTATAACTTGGCTTATTACCTATGAAATCTCTTTACTTAGAGCATGGAAAGAGTAATTTTATATGAAGTATGTGAAAAAATTAGTGATAAAATGTTAAGTGTCTTTGTTTGAGAAATTAAGCAGCAAGAAACAAAATGAAAGTTACAAGTATTTTGGCATGAATCTTTGAAGATAGATAGGTTGAGATTTAGAATTAATGTCGAGAAGCTATGATGGTAAAGGAGTGGGATAAATAATCAATAGTTAACATTTGTTAAAGGAGAGTCAAAATTAACAAATAATGCATGTTTTAAGGGCAAGAATTTGTAGGAAGGATCTAGTTAATAAGAAAATAAGGATTCTTTTATTTTAATTTTAATATTGTTTTTTCTTTGATTTATAGGTAATATTAGCTACCAAGGTTTGTGGTTACTCCGAGCAAGCTACTTACATTCGTGATAATGCACAAGTCTTGCGAGTTGATGCTACAAATGTGAAGGAGAGTGTAGAAAAGAGTCTTAAGAGACTGTCCACTGATTACATTGATTTGCTTCAAATACATTGGTATGTTTTCTATTTTTTTCTCCCTTCAACCCTTTATAATTTGAATTGAAGGATAGAATAATACGATCAAACAACCTTAACTTTCTTAAATTATTAACCCATGCAAATCAGGTTACTATTTGAACATGATTTACTCGGGACTTCTATTTATAATCTACTTATTGTATAATTTTTATGTTACATGAACCTTTTTGGTACAACTTCAGTCATGCCATTTTTTGTAAATCCTATTTCATTCCTAACCCTTCTATATCACTTTTAAGATAAAATGCATGCAAGACTTATGGTAAATGAGGTGTGGTAACATTAAAGGGAAAAAAAAACTATAATTAGATTCCTGAGATTGACTAACATAACATATTGCTCTATATTTTAGTTATTCCATTAAAAAATTGTTTGATACCTAGGGTATTCTCTTATCAGAAACTTGTTAGGGTTTCTTGTTAAAGAAAAACGAACAATTCAATAGCTAAACTCTGTCTTGTTGTGATCCATTCTTAAAACCTCCTCTGAATTAACATCAAAATACAGAAGGTACTATAATATGACGGAGGGATATTAATTCTATGGGTACTCCTATCTATTCTTGTACCAAAATTAAGGATTTTCCTGGCTCATATTTGTCCAAAGGTGTCTTGATTTTGATGATTTTTGTAAACTTCTTTGATAGTAAGTTTTATCTTTTATTTTTTTATTTTTTTATTTTTTGGTTATGTATCATTTGAGTTTACTATTTTTGGATGTATAGATTCTTCTTAAATTTTTTAGGGTTTTCTTGACAATTTATCATTTCAACTTTCCTAGACGTATTTGGAAACTTTTGAGCATTTCATGCTTCATGCCACTTATTTGCTTTCATAGAATTGAGGATTCAAATAAACAGTTTTTAGGGTTCGGCATTGGTGGAAGCTTTTCTCATTCCACACATGATTGAGGGGCTATGGGATAATTAAAAATATTGAGGTTGAAAGGTACTCAATATTGGATTTTAAAGATGATGAGTTTGCAAAGAAAAACATTGGTAAAGTTTTCGATGTGCATGAGTTTGTTGTTTGGTAATGTATATTTGTTCGAATTGCAAAACTAATTAATGATATGGATGTGTTCAGGATGCTTGATTTTCATAGTCTACAGGGCTAGCAAGACATTAATATCTACGTTAAATGTGAAGTGGTTGATCAAGCAAAGGGTATGGAGTTTGGTGAATATGTGCTGAAGGAGGATGTGAGTCTAGACCTAGGTCATTCTAAAAGGACTGCTTGCTTGTCATAACCTAGGTTTTGATGGGCATGATAGTGACAACGCACATTATGCTGCGGGCAAGAACATAATTAGTGCATTTGATGGTGAAGATTTGCAATCGAAAAATGAAGATGTTCTGCATACCATAATGAATACTTGAATACAAACTTGGTAATCTTTTTGATGATGAGTTGGTAATCTTGTTGTTGATGAGTTTCTAAATTCAGACATTGACATAAGAGATAATATTTTTGAAGGATAATAATTTATCAAGTAATGAAGGCTTATGAGTTAGAGAAAGGACTGAATGGATGTGGGCTTTGAAAGAGTTTTGTGTGCATATGAAAGAGTTGGATTGTACCATTCCAAAAGATCGAAATGGTTGTAGGCCTTTTTTTCTGCTTAAGTTTCAATGAGAGGTGGATTAATTCAAGTATACATTTGGCTTGCACTTCATTAAGAATGGACTGCACTATCGCAGAAGGTGGAGCGGTTCACTCCGTTCCGTTAACTCAAAAGACAAAAATATGTGTTACTGGATATTCAGAGATTTCCTCTACCCAAAACAAAATTTCAAATATGATTTGTTTTACTTATGAAGGATCTATTTTTCCATGGGCACAAGCCCTATGATAATTACATCCCTGAGTGTTGTGCATAAAAAGTTTTGTTTAAGGATGTTCATTCATGGTTCTGGATTCAATAAAATAGGATATAGATACTCATTCTAACCACCGTAGAACAATTTCAATAGGATATACAGTATATTAAAACTTGCAAACAAAGAGAGCTTGATAACATCAACATCATCTTCAAGAAACGAAGGAATTTCTCCAAGAAGAGGCTAATCAACAAAATTAAGGCTTACAATCTTCTCAAGCAACCAAAAGGAAATTGCCTAGACCGATGAAGAGGCTTAGTTTTATGTGAAGCCATTTTGGTTTGTGTTATAACATGGAAGGGTTACTTAAGACTGACAATAGAATTTATACCCACTAGAAGAGGGATGCATTCTAACTCTAGATGGCTTTAAAATAGTGACATCAAATCTCAATGAAATGCAACATATCTACTGTTACGGAGTAAACGATGCATGTGAGGGTAATATTGCAATGAAAAGAATGCAATGATTATAACTCTATATGCTGACATTGTAATAATCCATTTTGAAAAATCGAGTAAAATTTTTGGCGATCTAAAATGTACCCCAAATTTTGGATTCCTCTGATTTCAATTGAGTTTATTTTATAAAATTCTTCGCATCAAAACGATAAATTTAATAAATATACTATATATAAATTATGAACGGTTTTAGAGATATAAAAATTGAAAGTTATATGTTTAATTAATTTAATTAAACCTAATTATTTCCTAAACTCTCATGCCCTTACTGTTCCTCACCGACTTCTAGTGCCATTTGTTTGTTGGTTCACTCGAATGGGGGCTTTTAGAGCCTCTGAATTCTGCTTCGATCTCCCAATTCCCTTTACTTCCCCTCTCCCTCAAGGAAGCGACTCAGTTACGCTTAGCAGAGGAATTTCGCGAGAACAATGAGGGTGAGTGGCGGTCTGTGAGCTGCAGTTCACGGTAGGGAGCTTGAGGGAGAAATCTGTGAGTGTAAACCCCTCTCATGCCAATTTTAGCATTCCCTTCCTTCCCCAATCGTTCTTTTTGGCCATAGGGAACCCGCACGTCCAATACTGTAGCTGGAGTTGGGATTGTGCACAGACGCATGACAGTGAGCAGCAATCGGCTAGGTTTATGGGTTCCAATACGAAATCGATAAGTGTAAATTGGATTTTAGGGATATTTAAGACATTCACTTCGTTTTTCTTGCTTACATTTTGAGATTTGTCACGAATCGTACATTTTTTCATCTCCAATCACCGTAGCTGAGACAAAGTTGTGTCAAAAGTGACAAAGTTGATTCGTGGGTCTTCGAAAGGGGTTCTGGCACGAATTTAGGAAAGTTAAAAGGGAGTAAGCAAAGTTAAGAAGAGAGAAGAAGAGTTGACAGTTTTGGAGAAGGATTGGTTGCTGAGAAGGATATTTAAAGTACGTTTTAGCAAATCAATTATATTTTGAGTTCAATCACTTTATGAACTACAATATCCAAAATTCCTATGTCGTTTAAGATTTCAGGTGATATCTAACGTCCAACAAATTACTAAAGATCAAGAACCTTGCCTTACAACTGGTGTGAGTAATTACGTTTTTAGATTTTAGTAATCTTATTTATTTTAGATTTTATGTTTGTCTTCATGTATGCTTTAGTTTAATCAGATCATTCATATTGTTATATAGGAAATATATGCATGATAAACATAATAGGAAAAAATATGTATGAGATGAATGATATTTAGATAGATATTATATGTAAGATAGACATGTAAAAAAATATAGGTGTGATGTAAGAGACATGCAAGAGATAAGAAATATGAACGATACAAGAGATTTACATGATATGAAAGACATGCATGATGAATAGTTGCACAACAAAATAAATATTCATGTTAGTAGATGGATGAAGATGACTTAAAATAATGAATGAAATAGTTTATATATAAATGTTTGTATGTGCATGTTCAGAGGAGTTCATTCTCTAATGGTACAGACAGGGGGCGTTAGTGCAACCGCTTGCGTAGAGTTTTTTTACCACCTCAAATAATTATGATGGTTAGATTACTTGGGTGAGTAGACCAGAGCTTACATCCCTAGACAATTGTGATTTTTACATTACTAACCACTATGTTGATGAGATGATATTGTCAAAGGCAACTGAAAGTTCTACCTTAGACAATTGAGACCATTGTGCCGATGGGTGCCGGCAAGACAATATCGGCCAAGAGTGTGTAAGATTTTGTTGACGGTGATACTCATAGAGACAAAAATGTATGTTAAAAGTATAAAGTAAAAATAAAGTTAAGATAAATGCATATGTATAATTAGTGTATTTTCATTTACATGCATTAACATATATAAAGTTTCTTATAAAAAAATGAAAGTTTTAACTTATTAAAAGATTTATTATAGAGATATGAAAGATCAACATGCATATTATATTCTTTTTCTTAAATTATTGTAGTTTAAAAGTGTGATTACTTCTGGGTTATCTTTAGATAACTCATTATGTTTTAATATTATTTTTAGGTTTTAGACACTAGATTAAGATGAACAGAAAATGATCAAATATGTATAGAAGACTTGAACAACAAACGAAAATGTACAAATTTCTATTTGGTTATTTTATTTTCTTTCTTTAATGGCTCTTTCACGTATTATTTGAATATTAAATTGCTTGTAATATAAATAGAATAGCAGGGAATTGAATTTCATCGTCTGATCGCTTGGTCCGTCTTGATTAACTCTAAGCACCTGGTTGGGTCGTGATAAAAGTGGTATTAGAACAGTGATTTTGATTAGAGCAAGAGGTTTAGATTATAGCAAATGTTATAGCTCGATTAAGTTTGAAATTATATAAATTAAAAATTTTAGGTGAGTCTAATTAAATTATAAGGTTGTTTTTTTTTTTTTGAATTATGGGTGATTTGAATGAAGAGGCAAAAGATGAGAATGTAAAATATGTTTTACCCCAGAATGCCACAATCAATGTTGTTGCATTCTCTGATATGATGAATGTTGTGACTCAGTTGATTAAAAATTCTTAATCTCATGCTAGTATCAGTGAAGGAGCGCCAATGAATAAGTACTTGAAGCTTTTTCAAGATATGAAACCACCTTTGTTTCTGGAGCTCGAGGGTCAGTGGAAGTTGAAAATTGGCTTTTGAGAGTGTAGAAGATTATAGATGGATTGTCATGTCCACCGAAGAGAAGAGTTACCCTTGACACTTTTGTTTTTGAGGGAGAAGCTGAGAGATGGTGGCAAGGACAGATGGATGAGAAGTTTGGAGGCAGAACCAACTACATTGTGCAGTGGGATGAGTTTGTGAAAACTTTTAGGGATTAGTTTGTATTATTGTTAGCTAGAAGACAGATGCAAGATAAATTCATTAGGTTGGTACAAGGAGATCGATCAATTACACAATACGAAGATTTGGCAGCTTTGGAGAAGGGCTAGTTGCCGAGAAGGTTGTTTAAGGTATGTTTTGGCAAATCAATTATATTTTGAGCTAAATCACTTTATGAACTACGATATCTTGAATTCCTAAGTTGTTTAAGATTTCAGGTGGTATCCAGCGTCCAACAATATACTAAAAATCAAGAATCTAGCCTGGTAACCGGTGTGAGTAATTGCGTTTCTAAATTTTAGTAATCTTCTTTATTTCAGATTTTATTTTTGAATCCGTGTATGCCCTAGTTTAATCAAATCATTCATATTGTTAAATAAAAAAATATGCATGATGTATGAGACAAGAGGATACAAGAGATATACATGATATGAAAGATATGCATGATAAATAATTGCATAACAACGTAAGCTTGCATATTAGTAAATGCATAAAGATGTCTCAGAATAATGAATGAAATAATTTATATATGAATGTTTATATGTGCATATTTAGAAAAACAGTTCACCCCCTAATGGTACAGGAAATGAACGTCAATATACTCGCACGTGTAGAGCTTTTTTACCCTTGCCCAGATAATTATGATGGCTAGATCAAAAACCGCAGTGCCGATGGAACAAAATATCGGTCAGGGGTTAGTAGACCAGATGTTATCTCCTAAGACAATTGTGATGTTTACATTGCTAACCGATATGCCGATGAGATAATATTGACCAAAAGCAGGTAAAAGTCTTTCCACCCTAGACAATTATGATGTGTAGATAACTTATCGTTGTGCCAACCGGAGATGACGAGACAATAACGACCAAGGCTGTGTAAGGTTTTGTTGATGGTGATCCTCACAAAGATAGAAATATAAGGAGTATAAAGTAAAAGTTAAGATAAATGCATATATAAGATTATTGTATTTTCATTTAGAATAAGGTAATTGATATATGCATTAGTATATATAAGATTTCTTATAAAAATATAAAAGCTTAACATATTAAAAGATTTCTTATAGAGATATGAAAGATCAGCATGCATATTGTATTCTTTTTCTTGGATTACTGTAGTTTAGAAGTGTGATTGCAGCTAGATTATCTTTAGATAAGTCATTTTTTTGTTTTAATATTTTTTTTAGGTTTTAGACATTGGAATAAGATGAACAGAAGAGGGACAAATGTGTATAGAAGACGAGTATAACAAACGGAAATGTAAAAATTTCTACTCGTTAATTTTTTATTGCTTTCTTTAGTAGCTTTTTAACGTATTATTTGAATAATAAACTGCTTGTGATGAAAATAGTATAACATAGAATTGATTTTCACCATCTGACCGCTCATTCCCGTCTTGGTTAACTCCAAGCACCGGGTCGGGTCTTGACAGACACGATATAGACGATGCAATATGTGTGCATTGATTGGGTTCAATCAATTATATCCAAGGCATATGATCGGAAGTTGCATAGCCAAATTTTGAGATATCATTCAGGGCAAATCATGGTAGTTTTTATCTTTTACATTTTTTAGTAGAAAAGAAGCTAGAGTGTGATAAAGAAACTATTTTAATTAGTTTTAGCTTTTAAAGTTTTCCTAGAGAACATAAGCTTTTTGTCCATAAAGAAAATAAAATCACATATAAACAAGTAATAAAGGAAGTCATATAAATCTCTAGTTAATTCTAAGATAGCTATAAAAAGAGGATCCGTGTGATCTGAAGAAAGAAATTGCATTAAACATTTAAGCCATCTCAAAGTGTTATCATACTCTCTCAAATAACCATAGGCATACGACAAAATACCTATTTTAATTTTAGAGATGATCCTAGTTTATGTTTGGTGATCCAATGGACTTGTTGGCTATATATCGATGGGGTTAACTAGGTTATGGCATATATTGATTTGAAAACCCAAAACATAGACTTAAACCGTTGTTTGAGGTTTGCTTGAGGATAGGATTTACCATCCTACTAGTGATGTTGGATATTCTCATGAAAGTGGTCTTAAAAATGTATTTTTTGGGAAAGCCTATGATGGATTGATACTTAAGGCTCTATTGGTTGAAGGGAATATTAAGGGCATTGGACCCTATTACACTACTTTTAGGGTAGCCCAAAAAACAAAATATGCATATTTATATTATTAGGGTAACACGATTACACCGCTATTAGGAGATTGTTATGGGTGATATAATTATATTATTATGGCAGCCAAATAAGGTAGTGTATGTGTATGTAGAACTCTTATATGTTGTCTAAGGGCCCGTTTGGGGCAGCTTATAAGTGCGGGCGGCGTTTTGAAAACGCCGCCTCATTATTTGGTTCGCACTTATTGGGAGATTATTGAAAACGGCGTTTTGAAATTTGTAAAAGACGCGGACCGCGGGACAACCCCCCCTGTCCGCGTTTTCGATCCAAGTATTACCCCCGTGACCCTGCCCTTATACGCATCCGCCTTCTCTCGGTCTCCTTCGCATTTCACATACCCTAAGCGGTTCTCCGCTACGATCCCTGAAGTTCTCGCTGGTTCTCCTCTACGATCCCTGAAGTCTCTCGGTCTCCTTCGCATTTCGCATACCCTAAGCGGTTCTCCTCTACGATCCCTGAAGTTTTCCCTCTTTTCTTCTTCGACATTTCCTTCTTCGACATTTCTCTCAATAGGTAAAACAATTCCTTCGCATTTCTAGTCTTCCTTCTTCGGCATTTGCAGAGGTGCTATATGCGACTTCTTGCTATTTCATCGTCTCTTGCTATGTGTTCAACTGCGTACTTATAAGTAGGAATTGGGTTGATGTTCTTTCTCATCGGTTTGATTTTTTGTTCTTGGTTTGGAAGAATCGTTACCCCGATCTTCTTCTTCGATCTTCGTTGTTTTTTGACTGTACTCTTTTTTTTTTTTACCTCCACGAATATGTTAATTTCGTGTATTTTTTCTGTGAGGATTTATGATTAGCAAACAAACAACATCTGTTTGTCAAAATGATGTCATGAATGGGTCTACAAAATCAAAATGAAACAGGGGCATATTGGTCATTTATCCAGAATCAGCTGTTCTCAAAACGCTCCAACCAAATATCCGGTCAATTTATCCGGATCAGCTGGTCATCAGCAGATTATCAGGATAAGCTGCAGCTGCCCCAAACAGACCCTAAGCTAACAACATGGACAGGTCTTTACACCCTGTATGTAAAGAAACTCGTAGAGGTTTAATATGTTATTAAAGATTACGTGATGTAATGTGCGTGTTTGTATTTTAAACCTTTTGATTATGCTCAATTTATGGTTATTGAGTTTTGGGGCACATTGTACACGCCAGCATACCACATTTTAGTGTTGGAGCCTTTGATTGCCCCTCATGGGATAAAAATTAGGTATCCTCTAGTTAAGTGATGGCTCAAGTTGATAACCTCGAGGGCCTTAGTCTCAAATTAAAGATATGACGATTGTATCGTGAAGGATTTCTCTCTTCTTGTAATGATTTACATTGGTATTTGACCTCGTGCCCAAAATATTCTATAGCTAAGTGTTTATCTTCTCATCAATATAATATTTGGATATGTTTCTATTTTTAATAAAATAAAAAATATTAACAGAATAAAATAAAATAATTGTAACGTTTAGTTTTGTTAAGAAAATTCTACAGCGACATTATATTGTTTAGTTGTTACATACCATTTTCTTTACTAGCCAACCAATAACAAAAGATTCTATTGGGGCTGCTTTTATATTATCTTCTTAATCATGATCTAAGTAGTTTATGATACTTCATCAGGCCAGATCGATATGTTCCATTATTTGGTGAATTTGCGTACAATTATGACAAGTGGAGACCAAGTGTGCCATTTGCTGAACAACTCGGGGCTTTTCAGGAACTCATCAATGATGGAAAGGTATGGTCAATATACTATTGTAAGTGTAGATAGCCTTATAATTTGAGCTTATCATCGCTCTTAATTGAAAACACTTATATCGTTATATTCTATTTTTCTACTAAATGCAAGTGTTTTTTTTTACATGATCCAATAGAGAGCTTACGATGTTTCAACTTGAAGATTCTTAGCAGATATCTACCGATTGATCAAAATTCCTTACCAGGAACATCATTTGCAAAAGTTGCTTGTGCTACTCATCTTTTATTTGATGTTTTATAAACTTTCGTTTTCTTTGTTGCATTATTCTTTTCAACTGCTTTTTTAGATTTTGGAGCTGAATTCGGTTACACTTACTCTTTAGCAATACCACAACATCGCACATCTTATTAATGGAAAGAAGACATTGCACATCTTATTAATGGACGAGGTTTGTTGTATAATATTGTCATGGCAACCAGTCCTGAAATTTTAGCAGCCCAAAGCCTAAACGGGGTGACTTTTATTGATTGACAATTCAAATAAATTTTAGCCTATTAATTATTTATACACTTTATATCCAACAAACGAATTCAAAGCAACTAATTCAACATTCTAGTTTATATGGTAGTATTGAATAAAGTCTTAACTATTGAATCCATTCATTTCATAAGGAATTACGCACATTGTAGATTTGTTTCCTCGAGTGCTACAGGGATTGTCTATTTTAAAATCTTTTTAGTACTTCAATAATTGCAGTCTATAGCATCATCATGAAGGCTGAGTATAAATGCTAGGCGAGTAATTTCTGATACATAGATAGCTACGTGCTCACGTTTGATGAAACAATCAGATATATTTATTTTTGTTGTGCAAGTACCACAAGAATGTAATTAAGATGGAGGAACTGGCTCACACATGGATATTTCACGCTATGCCAATGTGTCAGAAGCAGTAAAAGAGATCTCTTATATGAACAAGTCGATGATTTCAAAACATCTTGTATGGTGATAATTTGATGGTGGGGTTGATGTTAGCTCTTATTATGAGAGTGAGCTCCGTGTCAAAGATTCATCATCATTTCCACTAATATCTATTGGAGGTGCAAGTGGTCCCGTGGATCATTATATGGTAAATATGGAGGATGACTCAGGGTCATGGAGTGACAGCTTGTATCTCAGAAGATGTTTCTAGAACATGCTAGAGAAAGAAACAAACATGCTTGCATGAATGTTGGGAGATTTTTGTATGCTAATGTCATTTCATTCAATATGTCAATCTCCTCTTCTTACTTCAATATAATTTTTTCCATAGTTGCTTATGATTGAAGTTCGAAACTGTCATCCATGTATGCTTTGAGTTCACGTGTTCATGAAGAGTTGAGTAATACATACAAGGCCATAGAGGAGATTAAAATAACAGAGTAAAACTAGAGTGACAACCATATATGAGATGTTTTGACATTTTGAGTATATTTTGCTGCTTGCATAATTTGTCACTTGATATATGTGTAATTTATCACTTCTTATTATATTAAGTTGTTAATATGTACTTTTGAATATATTTATAATTTAAGGTGCTAATGTTTTAATTTTTTACCTTTAGTTTGATTTTACACAATTTTTTGGTCTCGAGACCTGCACTTCAAAATGCCTTGATGTTTATGCCTTGTCTCATAGATGAAAATCTTCTCAATACCTAATTACGTAATTTTAAATCTTACTCAAAATTCATTATGTTGATATAAGCAAATCTGTGCCAAGAGCTTATGCATACAACTATTAAGCTTAATGGAGACAATTAGCATTACTCAAAAGATGAAGCAAGTTTTACATCTATCATCAAGCATATTAAGTAAAAATAAATACGAGTAATGTAAATCAATACTATAAAGCAAGATGAATCAATTCATGATTATGTTGTTTGGTATTCTAACCAACCTATGTCCATGTCTAAGCACATGATGCACTTAGGATTTCCCTCATGTTCATTGCACCACAACTCGCAAATGAAAAAACTCATCTCAATCTCTCCTTCAAGGGCCATACCTTTGCACTCTTTTTTCAAGGAAGAGTATACCCTTACCTTTATATGGGCAAAAGAAGCACCTCTAAGCAAACACCTCGCAAACTCTGGGAACACCTTCCAATGTTACTAATATTTTTGTGGTAACTAATTGCTATTACCAAACTTCTATAACACTCAGTATAATCCCAATACAATTACTACAATATAAATATATAGAAATTTTGCATATGATTACAAGATTAGTGTTGGTTTGATTCAAAATGTAGTTAGTACTCGGCCTCATTGTTTTATTTATTTTATTTTATTTTTTCTTAGGCCTCTTTTTTCTATTTCATTCTCCCAGGTACGTTATATCGGAGTATCAAATGAAACGTCATTTGGCGTCATGGAGTTTCTCAATGCAGCAAAGATCGGAGGACTCCCAAAAATCATTAGCATTCAGAACAACTACAGCTTGCTTGTTAGGTGCCGATTCGAAGGCACGTTATTTGACTTCTTATTGCTAGAGTTGCACTAACCGTAGTATGAACTTATTGCTTTTATTATTTATATACTTGATCAAATCATTTTTTTAAGATCCCTAATGGTTTTACACAAACTATACCATCTTATTCTACATCAACTAAAATTTATTTGTGAGTGGCATGAAATGTTTTGAATTAATGGTTCGAGAACAAAAAGAATGAGAAGCTTTACTTCATCTAATATGAAGAAGCCATCTCAAACACCAACTACAACACTTTGTGTGCGTTTGGGGCAAATTTGTGCTTATCCAGATAAGCATCTTATCATTAACGCGGCCCGCGGGGTTCGACCCGTGGCCTGCGTTTAGTGTAAAAATCCAACCATGTTTTCGGATAAGTTGTTGAAACATGTTTTCCAAACGGTGAGGCGGCGTTTGGAAAATGTCACCCGCACTTATAAGCAGCCCCAAACGGGTTACTCAAGAAAGATTTAATATTTATTTTTTTCAAATCTGTTCTGTTCCTACAGTTGATCTTATTGAAGTGTGCCACCCCAACAACTACAACATAGGATTTCTTGCTTTTTCTCCATTGGGTGGTGGAAATCTGAGTGGAAAGTATTTAGACCAAAATTCTGAAGCTGCAACAAAGGGCAGGCTTAACCTCTTCCCAGGCTACATGGCAAGATATAAAAATTCATTATCAAAGGTTGAATCTTTATCACAAATCTACTGCAAATAATTATAATTCTTTTTTTGTGATGTTCGTCTTGATCTCTTATTGAGTTGCAGGAAGCTACTGAATTATATGTTCAACTGGCCAAGAAACATGGCCTCACCCCAGTCCAACTAGCTCTAGCGTTCGTACGAGACCGCCCCTTTGTGACCAGTTCAATCATCGGCGCGACCTCACTTGATCAGCTCAAAGAAGACATTGATGCATTTATATCGACTCCTAGACGATTGCCGCCAGAAGTTGCGGATGACATAGAGCTCATCTTTAAAAGATACAAGGATCCATCAATCTTATGATGACATGAATTTGCATTGTCAGCTAAATTTAACTTTCCCTAACATGGTTGTCAATTGATGGTTTCCTGAGAATGGCTGCACATACAAAATGAGATTTTTAAGGATTTCAATTTTTTTTTTCCTTTCATTTTTAAGGGTTTAGAAGTCCATGTTGTTGAAGAAAATCTTGTTTATATATCAATTTATAAAGGATCATAATACATGGCATGCTAAGCCTTCTGAAAGTTTAGTGTTGAATTCATGACTAAATTGTGGCATAAAATTCTGGGCATCAATTAGTAGGGCTGTAAATGAACTAGCACTAAATGAACAGCTTGAGTTTGAGTTTGATTGATACTCGATCAAATTTATTCAAATTAGTAAATTAAAAAATTTTAATATTTTTAAAAACTCTAAGTTTAAATAAATAAATTTAAATATGGTCTAACATGCTTATTTTCGTTCATGAACAAACTAGTGTATTGTATAAGAAAGAACTTGTTAAATACTCTGTAGTAAGTTCGATGATAGGTTAAATCATGTATGATCATGTATGATTTTATCTTAGAAAATGGATTATGCATATTTTTTTTTAAATATATATATTTAATAGTAAAATATAATAAATTAAAATCAATTATGTATTATAGTTTATTACAATTATGTATTTATTTCCATGAAATAATTTTTTAGCATTTATTTATATTATTTGATTACTAGAATGCCTTTTTACAACTTATTATTATCATTTTAATAGGTGTCAATTAGTTAAGATGCTAATTTGATTCTTTTTCAATCGCTTATTTTATTTTATAGATTTGTAAAATCATTTGTTAATAATTTTATATAAAATTTTGCTTGCTTATTAAATTATTAGAATAATTATTTTTTTTAATAAATAAAAGTCAAATACAATTTTACATATTTTAATCAAACAAAACATGAACATATGCGTGAAAGCTTAGTTCGAGCTCGAACATGAACAACTTTAATATAACTAAGCATAGTCCAAATTAGGAAATACTTGGCTTGACTCAGCTCAAACACAACTCAATAAATTATAAGTCTTTTACGTGATTTGGCGTTAAAAATTGTTTTCTAAAATTTGTGTATATTAAGAGAATGGTTGAGCAAATGCATTAGATTTGGATTCAATAGAAAAGCCAATACAATCTAAATGCATCTTGGTAGACATCTAATCACAATATATGTACAAATCAAATCATAAACAATAGTATATTCAGCCCAAAAATATAATGTTTAATAAGAAGATACCATCCTTCTCCCAAGCTTATGTGAATCAATTCAGTTTGATTATTAGCTTTTTGGTGGGTGATGAATATATAAAATATAAGTTGTGCTCTCTATTTCTTAAGAATATTTTCATAAATATTTCATAAAATTTACATTTTCATAAATATATTTTTAGTTAAGTCGCATTATTTAACTAACTTTATTAAAATACAATATAATAATATGAGATGCATCAACACTTTCATGAAAAGGTATGTAACGTTCATCTTGGTGATCCATTATTATAAAAATCACATCATATTTTCTTAATATTTGTGGTAAATTTTAGCTTATATAAATCGGTAAAGGTTGCATCAAATCTAATGTTCTATTCTTCTACTAATACTAGATTGATACCCCTTGAATAAGAAAATGATTTAGGATGCATCAGACAATGGTTCTATATATATATATAATAAATCCTTTAATGAGAAGGAATATAAAGATGTATACTCTTAAATGAAAAATTCTTTTTATTCTTGTTGTTTTCCTTAAACAAAAAATGAGCCATTTTCTACTTATTGATGCTTCTTACTAAAATTTTTATAAGTGTCGTACACCTTTTTATATGATCAAAATTTGTCATCATACGATATACATTATATGTAGAAAGATATAAATTTTACTCAAACCTTAATTACTTTGTTCTAAGTTTCAGCACAAGTCATAATGACCATACTTTATTCTTATAATAACCGCATCATTTAATATGTTTAACCAAACCTTTTTTAGAGTTTAGCCATTTAAAAGCCTGGTGATCATAACAGTTTAAAAATTCTTGACATAACAAACAATATTTTTTATAATGAAGAATTTGCACAAAATTTGCTATTATTTTTGGTGCTATCATGCCATAGGACAACATAAATGTTTAATTTTACAAATGATGTTAGGAATCCTTTACACCTCTCATTCCATGAATCACATGGGTAATAAGAAAGATCCCATGCCACACTACATGATTTAAAACTCTTTGAAACAACAAATCTTTATCCAAAAAATGCCTTATAAAAATCATATACAAAATTTAAGCTAGCTTGTAAATTTAAATTGACTCCACAAACCATAGTGCTATTTAAATATGCTACAAATTATATTTATAATTTCAATCATGTATTTTTAATATCATAACTACTAATAAATATTATATAGTCATTACATGTGAAATCCTCATAATGCAAGCCACATATCTGCATCAACAAATTAGCAATCTATATTTTATTAAGAACAGTAGGAGTTCATAAACCAAGATCCTCTATCTCTAATTTTAGCATTGTAATTTTGTAATGTTTTCACTTTACTTCCAAAATTATATGCATTTATTGGAGGTCCCATGATAAAATACAACTATCCTCTAGTTTTCTTGGATAAGATTCTCTGTTGTGTTGGCAAACCTCTTTATTATTGTTCCAGTAGATCATGTACTGATTACATTGCATCTTATTAATTATCTTTTTAATTTCACCATCATAAGGCCTTACAAAATTACTGATGAGATCACCTTCTTGGTTTCAAAATGATTCTTTCAAATAATTTATACTCCAACAACATTTTAAACTATAATGACATATTTAACTATTATTCTAGTATGACATACAAAAGATTCATTTCAGGATTATATTTAATAATTGCAACTCATTAATTAAAAATTGGATATTTTTAAAATTTATATGGGATGTCAAACATATCAAAAAAAAATTTAATACTCAATTGAAAGGGTATTTATTTATGTCACTAAATTCTCAAGAATAACATTCCACAAAATAAACTATGAACTTTAACTATAATAACATTTGAATCATGAAAGGCATAAGAAACTAACACATACTTTCAAATTGAACATCATTAAATAAAACATAAGAACAAATGAAAGTAAAAAAAAAAAAATCTTGTTGACCTCATTTTTGTGAGGTCTTTTTCTCTTTCTCTCTCTATAACATAGGATTTTTGCATTAGGGTTTCCTAATGGCTTTACATATTGGACCAATGTTGTGACCTTATGCCAACTATAAGTGAAACTGCTTCTCGACTCATTGCAGTTTAAATCCTTTAAATCCTCAACTTTTGGTTGAGTTGATTGAGGCCAAATTATTTGAAGCTCAAATTGAGTTCTTATAGTTCTAAAACGCCCTAAGCAAACCATTGATCTCAGAGACTTAAGACTTTTTATGAGTCTTTCTTTGGGGCACGTCACTCACCCTCACCACTTTTGGATAAATCCTCTTTAGCTTTTGGAGAGCTCATTAATTATGAAGTTTAACTTAAGCTAAAAAGGCTTATCTTTCAAAAAAAAAAAAAGAAATAACAAAGCAATAAAAAAAACAAAGCAATAAAAAATTTGAACATAATTCGAAAATAAAATAATATTCATTAAAAATCATTAAATCAAATGAAGTTAAAATCAACATAGTTAAAAATTTTAAAATCCATAAATAAAAATTTTCAAAATTAATAAAAAATAATTTTTCAAAAGAAATCAGTAAATTCAAATTATAAAATTTTTAAAAAATTTAAAAAAACTGAAAATTACAAAAGAAAAGTTAAAATTAAATAAAATTTAAAATAAAATCATAAAAGTTTTCAAAATAAGAAAATGAAATAAAAAATTCAAAAATTGAAATAAATCAATGAATAATTGAAAATAATTCAATAGTCAATTTTGTCAATAAAATTAAATGAAAAGATAATGATAAAATGAAAATTCAAAAAATAACATGCTTCATTTTAAAAATTCATTTTTAATTCATTTAAATTCAAAATAGTTCAAAATTTTCATAAAACCCTCATAAATGCATCAAAATACTATCCAATTTTCCCAATTTTCAAAATATAATAATTACAAAATTAAAAATAAAAACAGTAAGAATCTCACCCATTCACTTCGTGAAGCTTCTTAAACCCATCGTGCATGCCCAAACTCACATAAATTTTGGCCTGGAAACTTTGTTTCCACTCACTTGCCAACTCATCCATTTGAAGTCATTTAAAGCCAACTTGTGGAACCTTCTTTTTCAAACCTTAGCCTTATTTCAAACTTCCCACCTTATTGATTTGTTTTAAGCAATTTGAACATTCCCTCCAAGCCATTTTCAAATATTTTCAAGTCAATTTTAAGCCATTTTAGAAGCATCTTCCAAGAAGCTTAACACTTGCTTCAACCTCTTTCCAACTTGTCATCTTCCTATTGGTTGATTTCCAACCCACCTCCAACTGATTTCCCAACCACTTAACAACCAAATGAGATCTAAACTAGCCTAACATCTTCCTTCCAAAGCAAGCTACACCATTTTCAAAGCATATGTCATGTTATGAATGATAGCCCGCTAAAGTTGACTTTCCAAGTGGCACCACCTAATTAACCATCAAGATTTGACCATTCTATGTCAGCATTGTGGCAAATATATTGAGCCAATGGTTGAGCTAGCCATGCCTTTACCTAAGCCTATAAATAGGTGGATATTTTAGGTCAAAGCATGAACATTCCAATTTTCATATTACAACCTTGTATGAGTCGATTTTTTGTGAATTTAAAAATATATTTAATTTAATATGTATATAATTTTGATTTTAAAAATAGTGTTTTAATTCTTGAAAAATGTGACAAGATGGATCTCATATATTTAAAAGTTTAGATAGTTTAGCACAATACCATAAGTAATACACTACCTCGAGAGATAAACATATCACTTGTTAGTAGGTTCAACCATTTAAACTAAGAAATTTATGACTCTTATTTGCTCTGTGAAATTTATGACTGATAATTCTCCTATCTAATATAAAAATTAGATGGGATTTATATTATATGTGTTCTTAATTACTTATATGAACAAACCCTCATAGTTAATTACATCTTAAGCAACCAAAATCACTTAAGAAAACTCTCAATTAAGATCAGAGGTTTTGTTTTCAAGAACTCGAATTTAAGTTTTTAGGATTG